TAACCGATCCTGCAACACTGTTGTCACTATGTGTTCAGGAGAAAGCCCATTTGAAATATATTTACATGACAATTATAATGGAATGCGTTAACTATAGAAATACTGAGAAGCACTATTTGCTGGATGTTTCTATCAAACGTTTGCTTACTCAACGTGGGTTTTGAATTTTCCTCGTTTTGTTCTTACATTGCTCTAATACATCCTCCTAAGTATCTTAGCATGCTAAATCAAATGAATGCTTTTAAGTGTTTTTGGTGTGAGGTACAAGGTGCTTTTTGAGGAAAGAAACGTTTTATTTGCAATGCCAATGAATTCATGGGTATAAGTGTACAATGGAAGTTTAGTTATGGGGTATCACGTGGGAGCGATATCATCCCGTCACTAGGCAATGTGTCTCGAAATAGTCAAAGGAAGACTTAGTACCCTATTGATTTAAATTTCATGATTTAAATTAATAATATATCATGTCCCATTGTACACGTTTTACATTTTGTTTCGTTAAATAATAAACCGCTTTTTCCTCATCTTGTTTTCCGGTTTTCTACTTAGCAGTATACGGTTTACCAAGGCTACTTCTTCTAAAAAGTTGCCCTCAATATTTACGTCTATAGGTGTGTTATGTTGGAAGTTCCAGGTAGATATGTTTATTTGATGAAGCTTATGCATATATGGCATCAGAGGTTTGCTGAAAGTCTGTAGGTAGTAACATAAGCACAGGGGGAAACGTCGTACATTGTACCTGTTCTGAGTATCTATGTGTATTTACAATTTTTAATACCTATGAATCATCTTCAGCCTTTCCGCATGCACGTCATGACAAAGAAATCCAGTTTACACTCAGAATACCCTGCTTGACTATTGATTTTTCCATCACAAGGGATCAATATTGCATCATCAATAAGCAAATTTTTAGTTGTATTAGTTCACATTTAATCATTTTTTAAAGGAAATTGATTGAATTGATAAATTTTGATGTATGTAGTTTTATTCAGTTTGGATAAAATGTGATTATTAACCGAAATTGTTCATGGCGATGCCCTCGATGGGGGGATGAAGTGCCGCAAATTATTGTCCCCCAGAGAGGGTATGTAAGTCCATGTCTCTCAAGGATACGTTTGTATCTACCAGTTTTTTAATCGACGTATATTTGTTCGTTTAAGTGACGGCTAAATTCGAGTACAATTGCCACCGACTAAAGGGATTATGTAAATCCAGCTAGGGTCCATGCAGGTTGCAAGGGTACTGTAAGTCCCCATGGTCACTAGTATGGTGATATACCTTCATTTGCTGGAGATCTACAGCCCATTTTTACAATGTATTGTTGTTTACTAATCTTTTCTTTTAAATGCTATCAGCTAGTTCCCCCCTTTATTCCTGTGATACCATAGTAATTCTACTGTCCATCGCTGACAGATTTCTTTCCTAATATATCAACTATTTATATTCAGATTCTCGTCACGATATGGCTGAAATCTGAAACATTGCTGATGTGACGTTAAATGTTAAGTCACTCACTACTCTCAGAATGCACATCGTACAAACCAGATTTACCTCCCTTGGATAACCCCGGTTGCACGGTGAATGAAGCTTCTGGCAAATCTCCACAAATGAGCTACGGTTTGACATAATTTATTATCTAAATTCCAGTACCCTTGAATAAAGGTTATGCTAATTCGTATCTAACTGCCGTGGGGAAATGCATATTTCTACGTTTGTTAGTGGTGTAAGATTATTGCATTGACATTTATCATAAGTTGTTCACTGGTCACGAGGGGGTCATGGGTTGATAAACAAACATCGAAGGTACATCAACCCATGGGCCCCGAGGGACCAGTGAACAACGTATTTATCTTACCGAATACCTTAATGTTAATTTTGAATTGTTTGAAGCTCGGGTACAAATCTTTTTGTAGCCATCGCTCGATTTTGCAGACAAGAAAATCAGATTTAGAGTTATCTCCCTTCCATCGATTTGCATTCGCAAAACATCGGTAACTACCGCACGTCATACGTGATTCAATGTTACTCGAGATAAAGAATTACTACCACGAAGTACCAAATGAGTTGCCATTGACAGCGGGGTACATTGGAATGTTCCTCGCTTCTAAGCGGGATATATTGAAAATAATAGAAGAGCGCTCAGCCAATCAGAAAGCGACATTTATGTGTGAGGTAAGATAAACACATGTGTACATGTATGTAGTTTGGATCGTTGGCCTCGTTAGTACTAGCCCTTTGAGTTACATGTACCATGTCGCAGTTTAACAGGCATTACTGTGCTTTTTATTCTCCTGATACAAATCTCTCACAAGATAAATTCTATGACCACTGTATGCCTGAATATTTGAACAATGGTATTATTTGTAATTGTAGTAAAGTAAGGAAAAAACGGATTGTTCGGAGACCACAAATCTGACTGCTTTATATTTCTGATAAAATCTATCGTGGACGTTGCTATTTGTTTCATTATGTGAGAAGCATTTCCACTTTACATACACAAAAGCCCAGCTACGTATCAGGTGTAACTTGCACCAAGTCTTAATCAATGTGTATTATGTTTTTTCCCTAAATCCAGTCTCTATCTAAATATCGGGTGTTTGCTGTTCATACTCGTTGTAACACAATCAACGAATTCTATAAGGTAGCTACTTTGCATTCCATATTATTTCATATCCTGTTTTATTGCCGATTCGTTTACTTTTCTCATTATTTTCTTTGCCTTGTTGCACATATGACCTAAATTGAGTCTTTATTTCACACCATTATGAGCTATAACTTTCTATGAAAACATTTAATGATATCAAGGTCACGACAGACGAATTGTTTGAGCTGTATGGGGTCTTTACATTGATAGAATTTCCATATTGTGCCATTAGGACGATAGCCGTATCATTTGAAATTGACCCCTGAAGATCCGGGTTAGAATTGATCTTAACCCATGCTTGTCACAAGAGCCAGCTAACGGAATCTTGTGGTCAGGCAGGCTGACTTGGTAGACACACATCATCGTATCCCATTTGCGTACATATATGCCCCTGCTGTTGATCACACATCGATGCTCATGCTGTTGATCACTGGATTGTCTGGTCCAGACTCGATTATTTACAGATCACCGCCATATAGCTGGAATATTGCTGAGTGCGGCGTAAAACTAAAATCACTCACTCACTCACTTGAACTTAGTATGATAAATAGAAATTATATATATATCAGTTGCCATTCTATACCTGAAGCCTAGTACTTTAGTTTCATCAAATATATGTATCTACATGGAACTGCCTACATTACACACCTATAAACGTACATATTTAGGGCATCTCTTAAGAAGAAGTAGCCTTGGTAAACAATATACAGTATACCTTGGTTATAAGGCCACCGTTTGTCCAGGTGAAAATATGGCATTATATCCAGGGTGGCATTATAACCAGGTAGGACAGTCAGAGGCCCTATTAATCAACAAGGTTATTGAGCCGATGTCTCCTGTAATGAATCTTGAATGGATAATTCCAGCGTCTAGGTGCTGCAGGTGACTTATTGTTGTAGGTGGCAGGAAGCGTATTGTCACATGTGTTATCCTATTTGAGATTACATGACTACTTAAAACATTAATTAGTTTGGTCAATTAATTTGAGTCATGTCAGTTAACTAATTAAGGTACGTATAGTACATGCAGCCAGTGTAATTAGCATTATAACTAGGGAACATGACTTTAAAAATGACTTTTGTTTCAAGAACCATTGGCAAATGGCATTATATCCAGTTTGGCATTATAACCAGGGTATTATATAGGCATTAAATCCGGCAAAAACATGGTCTTATATCCAGTGTGATATAATAACCAGGGGCGTCATAACCCCTGTTGTAATGCAAAGTAGAAAACGAAAATTTAGATCAGGAAAAAGCAATTTATTATTCAACGAAACATATCTTAAAACGGATGCAATGTGATATGATATACTGTACTATTAAATCAATGAAGCACATCCTTCCTTCCTTTCCAGAGACATTACATATTGACGTCACAGTCAAGGGATGGAAACCGGAACATGAGTCTCATGAACCAATTCAGACAATGACCTACTTTTCAGCCCATGTGAATTTTCTCGTGTGAAAGTGAAAAGAGACACTATAAACAACCATGAAAACACTAAATTCCAATTCCTTGTCTCATAAGAAACTGTTTTTTACAAATGAATTTTAATTTTCAACTTTAATAAAATCGTATTTCTATATTTTGTTGCGCGGTTTAGGCAGCATGACCTTAACTAAGACGTCACAGGCTGTCCTTGTTTGATGGGGTCGTAAAATGAATCACAATTCATCTGGCTCACTGGTTACACCTGTTATCTGTTATTTGCGCTTTTTCAATGTATTGTTGTAACGTACAATGTGATTGAAATGATATCAAGTCCGTACAAAACCGCCAAACTTTTCCCGCGGTCGAGCCGCGTTTTGAGATTTCCACGATTTCTAGATTTCCGTTTGTTAGAGCACGCTGTACGACAGAGCACGCTGCACGACGTGTTTGCGAGGATTAGAAGGAGCGCAGTGTTGCAATATACAAGCGATTAGATGTATCAAATAATGCTGATTAATATTTATATATCCAATTGAATGAAGTTGTCTTTAAATTCTAGACTGGTTATTGTAAAAGGATATAATATTGTAATATTGCGCAATATGACGGAGCCCAGGCAACAGGAAACGAGACTGTTGTGTGATCAATGTTCGCTCCCACGTGATGTACCGTAACTAGACTTCTACTGACACTTAGTATTGCAAATATAACATCTCTATCTCTTATCCTGCTATACTAAGATACCTAAGAGGGTCTATTAAAAAGTAGTATAAGAAAAAAATAAGGAAATTTCGAAAACCACGTAGACTTACATGTATCGAACGTTTGATAGAAACACTCAGCAAATAGTGCTTCTCAGTATTTCCATAGTTAACGCATTACATTAAAATTGTGAGGTAAATATATTTCAAATGGGCTTTTTCCTTAACATATGGTTACGCTTCTGTGATGATTTACTTCAACATACATTCTTTACAACCTAAGTCCTTATATTCATGTTGCTGGTATAATTCAAATTAATTATCGCATGATCAGTTTGTTGGGATGTCCGTTTTGTTTTCGACATTGACGGTTTTCAACATTTGCTGCGGCTGCAAACATATGTGATAAGATAATGCCACTATTTCCCTCACATATTTCAACTACTATCTCACTGTCCATGCTTTTGTCATGATGCTATATATCGTCATGTAAAGTCGGCTGACGAACTAACATCCTTGTCATTGTCAGGGAAGGAAATCCCCTGTGAGTTCGAGGGAAATGCATAGATTGTATCTCACCATATAGTTCCTCCTTGATCTGATATTGTTGATATAAACAACGTCATCATCGCCTATTACAAATTGCAGCTAGGACTTAGTAGAAGCAGTTATGGCATACCAACTGGTGAGACAAATATTTGGAATGGTATCCGTTGGTTCAAAAAGGGCAAGCTGTATTTGCAGTAACAACGTATCAAAAGGCGTAAGCAATACATTATAGATAGTGACATGATGGGCGTTTTTGTCAAGTACGTACACAGAGGGAAGGGCGAGGGATTATTGAGGTCAATTCGCGACAGAGCCTTATACAGTAGATCAGGGGTTCCTTTAGGTCGAACGTGACACCCTCAACCTCCCCACCAGTTTACAAAGCCTACAGCAATTCGTGAACATAAAACGGAATACATTGAATATATGGGGGTGACAAACCAGTTTTAAATATATTCATTGTACAATAAAGGCAAAAATACATATGCATATATTCGCTCCTCGTGGATCACTGTAATTTCCAATACCTTACGCTTCTATTTATGCAATTATGCACAGAGTTTTATGAAAATATACATAGAAAAGTATGCAAATGTACATAGAAGATATTTACACAAACATTGAGGAGCACGGTTACTATGTAATTAAATTTTACCATAAAATTGAAGTTAGTATCATTTGAAATAATGGAGTAATCGGAATCTTAACTGTACATGATACATAAACAATTGTAGTGCGAAATTGTTGACTTGGTTCAGTTAGAATAGTTGCTTACTGCAAAGACAGGATGTCTGTTCGTTAAACGAATGGAATATGAAATTAAAGAAGACAGGTGTCACATCGACACATATATTGTAGATATAACATTTGAGTTTACAGTACACATGGTGGGAACAGTTTTCATCAAAGCGACAATATCAACCTGGCTATTGTTCACGCTGTATATACCAGACGTATGCATGTATCTCTCCTTCTTATCCATTTGCTATGGGTAGAACTATACAAACAAAATGAAAACAATGAGCTGTCCTGCAGATATAACATCACTATATAAGGACACACAAATATCGAAAATTAAGAAGTATAACTACTAAGAATATTTAAGTTCGATGGACAGTAGGTTGTACAGTCTAGTTACTGTAAAAGCCAACACCTTCTGGATAGTCACTTGTATCAAAACAGTCAGTTTTAACGTGTCTCAATCCACACCACTCACCAGTTTCGTATCTGAAAACACACTCTGTATCAGCTTCAGGATAACTGTAAGATAATTACCAAGTATAATTACTCTGGCTGTGTTACTTTTACAAATTCGTGACTGATGAAATGGATAATGTAGGTAAATCAGATGGTTTGGTAATCTGGAGTAGCCGTTGGCCCATGTGTAGTATCCTCTTGAGATCTTGAGGTCTGTTCGATAACGGCATAATTGTTGACATCAGCCCCAGCTAACAGGCCGGCGTAAGTTGGGTGTTCAACAGAAGCTGGCGTGTCTCCTTGTTTCTTCGCAGTCAGATCGTACCGACGTCTGAAACGACAAGTAACGTGTCATGTGAATTTCGTTTAAGCATACTTAAGGAAATATCCAATCTTTGATAAATAGTTTAATCCCATTCTTGGTGCGAATTTTTAGGATGGTTTTGCAAACGTAAAGTCAGTCACACACATCCCAAATGAGATACACAGTATGACTGTAGAATTTCATAGTATAGTGTTCACTGGATGAAGCCGGAAGTGTAGAGAGTGAATGTACTTTACAATATACCTGATAACGAGGACGTACACTGCAAGACCGACCAGGATGGCAATAACAGCTCCGGCAGCCACCCCTCCCATAAACACACCAGCTGAAACAAAAAAACAGACACTTTGAATTGAACAGAGATCAATTATTTCTGACATTTTATTAAAATAACATTTAACACAATCCAGAACATGAGTCTTTCCCATGAACTTTGTCATCAGTGTTTTTACTTCACAAGGCCAACACTACTTGACATAGAGAACAAATTTCAATTTTGTACAAAGCTAAAACAAGTTGAGGCATGAACACGCAAATGTCATATTTCAGCTGAATGTTGTAAGCTATCTTGATGGAAATAACTTATGAACATAAAAATGTTGTCATCTGTCTGAAGTTTTAAAACACTGTGAATAGGTTCCTGCGCATTGTATAGTCCATACCTGGGAATCGTGAAGGGGAGGATACGGGAAGTCGATCCTTATTTGGAAAAGTTGTGACCTCTCCTGTGTAAAAATGTTTATGTCCAACACACAATATAAAACGTATCCAATGTAATCGTTACTGAGGAACAAGTCTTAATGTAAATCGTAACAATTATTTAAAACACACCTTGTCACATCATACTTTTATCATACTACCCCAAGAGCGTCTTTAAATGTACACCTGGAAGTGAACAAAAATATCATCATTGACATTTTTGGGGGATATTTTTATGGTTGTGTTTGTCTTGTTTGAGTAAGATAACCTTCTCTGCCACAAGAGTATATACGTAGATAAATGAATGTACACTATGTCAAATATAGAAGTTGTGCACACAGGGATCAGGTGGTCGTCGCAAATCACTGACTAAACCAATGATTCGAATCCAGGTTTGAATTTGTTTTTAGGTTTTGGCAGCTTGAATATTCAGTTGTCAATAATTCTAGATGATGGAGAGAGTGTTTAATGCTCAATGAGAAGAGTTACCTGTTGTTGATGTACTGTCTGTTCTAGTCCCCACTGTCACACTACTGGATGCCAGAATCTGAGCTGTCACTGTGGTAAAATACAATGATTGTTTTCACTACCAAGGCTTTTAGTTCATATAACCAAAGTATTGTTGAAACCGTCTTTAAAATCAGCTTGCACCCATCATATTGACAAAAGCAGTCTCTGTCAAACAATACCGCCAGACCTAAGCCGACATAAAGCCACAATATGGTTAAAACGGCATCAAAACCAGCCCGCACTCATTAAAATGACGAAGAAGTATTTGCCATAAATACCGCCAGTCCTAATTTATTCAACAAATTATTCACCATATCGTATAAAGTGTCATAAAAGCTTAAATATTGAGCTGCCGATAATTCTTGATTTGGAGATCGTGTTAAATGCTCAATGAGAAGAGTTACCTGTTGTGGGTGCACTGTCTGTCCTACTTCCTACCGTCACACTACCAGCTATCACAATCTGAACTGTCACAATGATTGTTTTCACTAACTGGGACCATGGGACTTGTGAAACATACATGCACTGGACCGCATTCAGAGTTACGCCCCTTAGTTTTCTGCGGACGAGCAGGTTCGAATTTCGATGAAGATTGTTGCCTCTCGGGAGACTATAAATGGTCGACGATCCATCAAATAGGTAAAGACCACAAATGACATCATTTCAACTTCAACTCGCCCAATCACTCAGGTTAGTAGCTGTAACGTCGGGTTAATTAGCCCGATCAGATATTTCTTAAATGATGTCAATGTCAGATGTGTATTTATTTAGAATGCATAATTCTACACAATCAAACACAATCCTACACAATCAAATGTAAACAAACGTAATCAAACACATCCCAACACAATTCCACTGAATCAAACACAATCCTACATAATCCCACACAATCCAACACACCCCAACACGATCATCAAAATCAAACACAATCCCACACAACCAAACACAACCCTACACAATCAAACAATTACAGGATAAACAATCAACCAATTATTCACAATCAAACACAATCCTTCACAACCCAACATAATCTAACACAATCAAACACAATCCTAAACAATCAAACGCAATCCCACACAACTAAACACAATCCTACACAAGCAAACACAACCCTACACAGTCAAACACAATCCTTCACAATCAAACACAATCTTAAACAAGCAAAGGACGAAGCTTGGCTTAACACTATGGGAGGTATCATTGTTGTGAACATATGTTGTCATGGTTACCAAGGACCATGAGTCAGAGGGCGTGCCACACAAACCAAAGCCTGATTTCAAAATATTGATAAAACCAGTCACTGTATACACAATGAGACACATGGGAACGTAATTAAATCTAACCAAATCTGTTTGGCTAAAACGTACACACTGACAATCATAATATGGAATTGATTTTTCTTTAAAACAAACACGATCAGACTCACCAGTCCGTCGTGTCGAAACTTTAGCATAGCAGTTGATAAAGACGCTTCTTGTGGCTGAAATATGCATTGATCAAGTGACAATACACAATTGACTGTACATGTACTCTCTGACAGTTTAAAGCTGACGGCTCTGTTGCGGTTGAGTGATTTGACATGTGATTGGCAGCGGCTTTGGTATGCATGTCAAGATACAATTATTTTTTGGGGGTCTTTTTTGTGAAGCAAGAATTGACTGTACATGTACTTTCTAAAGGTCTGAAGTAGTAGGATCTGTCGCGGTTGTCTGATTTTACATGTTATTTGCAGCGGTTTTGGTAAGCATGCCAAGATACAATGGCTTTTTCATGAAGCAAACTATGATATTTAAGGAACAAAATCAAACTTGACCTTGAGATTAATTTACTTTCCAGGTCGTTTGACAAATTGTTTCAAACAAAATTCTGCCCCAGGTAAACATGTCGATGAGGGAATACTGGTGTACGGCGTCAGGCAAATAATACGTCCATTAAATTACGCAAATTTTGTGAATGGAGATGCTTACCCTCATAGCGAACTCCTTGTGTCATCACTGATTTTTGGTGATCAATTCATATAATTTTCACAGCTATTATACCCTTACACTTTCTGAGGATAGTCACTGATGTATACATTTGCAATCAAGCTGTATATTTAAAGGTGAACTTACAAGCGATTCCAAGCCAAACAACTGATCGTGATCCTTCCGGAACTCTAAGTGTGATGAATGACTGTCCAGGTGATTGAATTGTTTGGAGCTGTTTATAGGTCCAAATCACGTCTGAGCAGGTATACGGTGTCGTAGTAATGGTCAAAATGGAACACCTTTCGGGTTCATTCCCATCTCCAAGACGTACATCAAGAGCGGTGATATTTACAGGCATCTGTGACTGAATTGTACAAATATGCTTGGACTTGGGCATCTCATCTGTATGCTTGTAGATGATAGTGGTTTCAGATGCATTCCGTTGTGAGGCTTCAGTCATGGGTATAATTACATCTTCTGTAACATGTGAATGCTCTGGGAATGACTTAATAAACCTCCATAAAAAGATTTCTTTGCATTTGTTAAATTTGATTTCTTTTCAGTTAACAGTTTCAAAAAACTGATGTCTGAATTTTTTTTTTTCTGTTCTTGATCATAAGGGTACAAATATACAGAGAGAAACATAGAAAGGAACGTAGGAAAATTCAAGCGTTCCTTATTAAAAACGTAATTCTGTTGTACAAATAATGGTGCCTTTTGGTACATACTCTTAACATGTGGACCTGAGGCAACAGTGGTTATGACCTACGGCCCTAGTAGAGCTTATGTCACCCGTACATAGGCATAGATAACCATCTCTTCACATCGTGTCTCGTAGATATTAGCCCCAAAATATGTACAATCTGAACCGTTTCGGGTCATGGGATGATTACCTTTTTTACGATTTTGGTGATTATTCACTCATTACCTTTGGAAACACTTATTTCGGATATCTTACAACAGATATATAACATGTTCATTATTCCGATACTGCTCATGAATTTAACATGTAAATGGTTGAAATCTGATGAAAAGGGACGTCATCTATGTACTGTTAAATTTCAATATTATCTACATTATTTAATGTAACCTTAATTCTAAATGTAAGAGTCCCTGAAAACACACTTACCATCAATGCACTGATATCTGACAATGGAGAATGTAACGGTTGCTGTATGCCGGGGAGCCTGATGCCCACATTGGTTCTCTGTAGAACAGTTGTTGTAGAGGGAGATGAGGTCGGTGTTGCCAATGCTGTGACTGCGTCTACTTACTGTCACATTGTCAGGGTTTACAGCTTGGCAGTTAGTGATACCTGCACCACATTCTCTGTTGAAGGTGAAGTAGGCGTCAACGATGGCGATCTTCTGGGTGGGGTTGCATCTGATGCTGTGCTTAGTGCAGGGAAGGCCAACAGTACCATAACAGGCTCTACTCGTCTGGATCTCTACGTGGAGAAATAGTCAGACTTTTATCATATTTTAAATATATATTTAGTGCAGCAGTCTTATAATGACTTCGTTATTGGAGTTCGTCTCCATCCAAAGGGAAAACATTCACATCAATCAAATCAAATCATGAGGATGTCATCATATATTTGACATCCCTAACTTTTACTATCCACCGGTTTATACTTGAATTACAAACAGATTGGGGACAGGCAGTTCTCCATACGGTGAAATTCCTTCCACGTGTGGACTGACGGTTTAACTGACAACAACTAGCGAATGGCATTCCAAGTAAGACATAGAACATCTACATGTACAACACTTGTTTATGACAGAAACGCATGACGAATCATATCAGCAATAAGTGAGTGAGTGAGTGAGTCAAAATTTAAAGTCACTTCAGCACTATTTCGTACTAGAATATAGAAGACTCTGCTCTCGATAGAGAAAGTGTCTTCTCAAATATAACATATGCTTAATTTGACTACTTTCTATATTGAATTGTGCATTCTTAGCTTTCGGTCGTAGAAGACGTGCCAATTTACACTTCTTAAAGGGGTAGGTACACGTGATCAAGAGTACCAGTTGTCCAACTTACGCTTTTGTGGAAGCCGCGGTGGTTGAGGTAAAGATCTCTGACTCTGAAAGTGTAAGTTCGAATCCCGAATGGAACTCAACCTAGTTCACGCTTGTACACAAACCCATAAACACGTAACATTCAAGAGCGATTTTATGTACACATTTCAGCAATACAATGCTATTTAAATAAACCCAGGCTATCACAACATTATTTATGATTTAAAACATGGGTTAACACAATATTACAGTAATAATTATAATAATAATAGATGATGTACGCCTCTCTCTCTCTGGTTTTTCACTGGGTTACAGATAGCGGCAAGTAAAGTTTTAATTCACTTCCGTAGCCCAGTCAGTCTTCCTCCGGTAATGCAACAAACCATACTGGAGTTGGGGAGGGCACAGAACCCAGGGAAGGCACAGAACCCGACCAAGAATATCTTGGTCAAACCATCTGAAAACGACAATACTTGAGTGTGCGAGAGCGACAGGATGGCCTGAAAATTCACGTATCAATGGCACGTCGCTTAAGCTTCATTTGGACAATGCCATGCCCATGTATGCTTACCTGACGGAGCAAAATCTCCAAGACCAGTTCCGGCGTCTTAAAAATTTCATGCGCCGTGAGCCAGTTCAACCCACAACTGGTGCCTGTCAGGAACCTTTGCATGAGCAGAATGCTCAAGTGGCAGCAGCCCCTATACTTCTGATGGATGTCCGCGTGAACCTCTTTCCTCTTTCCGAAACAAACTCTTCCGGCATAGAGCTAATTGGCCCCGACATTTCTGACCCTTACTCTTCCTCTTCCTCAGTTGCAGATCTTTCTGAAAATCCTGTGTATATTTTGTTTTATTCTATTTATGATGAAATATCTAACCTACCTTTAAAACAACGGAGGCCAATTAAACAAACAAATGAATATTTTCCCAAAAATGAAATTAATTTATTAAATGACATTATTTCTATCAAACCTTCTGCCGATTGTTCATTACATGAAGTTAATGCCGCTCGTACCTTGGAGGAACTTCACACAGTTTCCAAAGAAACAACATGTAATACTAAGAACAATACACCAATGAAAAACCGATTTCAAGTAAAACTAACGGAAACTAGTAAATACATTTCCTGGATAGAGCTGTGCCTGAAGTTAAGATCATCAGGGAGTCCAATGTCAAAACGGCAAAAGGCAATTTGGAGAAAATTAAAACTGAAATACAAAAGAACGAAAGAAAAGATATTTCTCCAAATTGTCGAGTCCCTTAAGGCCAAAATAAAGGTTTGGACTGAAAGAAAGAAAAAAAATGGGAAAAGAAAAATATCTTTATGAAACAGAATAAACTCTTTGGAAATAATGAAAAGCACGTTTACAGGCAACTCAAATTAAATGGTGATGGTGAGCATGATAGATGACCTCCCATGGATGCCAATGAAAGGTTCTGGAAACAGTTGTGGTTTGTACCCGGCGACTGTAACCTGGGGGCACCATGGGTCAGTGATTACGGTCATGCAATGCATGAGAAAATAGCTGGGTCGTTTGTCTGTTATATCTCACCAGATTGCCTGAAAAGAGTTATAAAAAAAGTCCAAATCTGATATAGCTCCAGGGCCTGATGGCATTCGAAACCGGTATTGGAAACTGTTCCCCTGTGTCCAAACATCATTACTTCACTGCTTCAGTTCTCTCGTAGACTAAGGTGATGTTCCACTATGAATCTGCAAAGGTCGCACAATACTCCTTCCCAAAAAAGGATACTTCACTGATACCAAAAACTTCAGCCCTGTCACATGTTTGAATACACAATATAAAATATTCAGAGGGTGTTTGACAAACCTCGTGTCATCTTACTGTTTTTCCAATGATATAATTTACAGAGGGCAGAAGGGAGCGACAAAGGGATGTTGGGGGTGCAAGGATCAACGTCTTGCATAGAAAATTATTTTGGAAGAGGCTAAACCATATCACCGCAACCTCTCCATGTGCTGGATTGACTACAAGAAAGCATACGAATCTGTCCCTCACGAATGGATTCTGAAGTCTGTTCATTGTATTGACCTCCCTGAGCGACTACTTGATATACTCAAGTCTTTAATGAGTTGCTGGTCGACTCAACTTGAGATGTACTCAAAAGGGCAGGTGCTTCAGAATCTATTCCCATCAGAAGGGGAATATTCCAGGGTGACTCCTTCAGCCCTCTGCTTTTTTGGTTGTCTTTAAATCTTTTGAGGTTTCTGCTCAATAAAGAGGAGGGTTACCATCCCGGACCTCCTCAGCACAGATCCCCAACACCACTTACTCATCCCCTCTACATGGATTACATTGAGCTCCTTGCCAAAGGAGATGCCAATTTGAAAGAGCAAGTTCTCCTTGTCGAGTCCTTTTCTAATGATAATGGCATGACATTTCGACTCGACAATTGTCATACTCTTCATTTGAAACGTGGCAAGGTAACTAAAGATGGATCGGTCAAGTTACAAGGGGGACGAGTTTATGAACATCTTGTGGAAGATCAGGCCGACACCTATCTTGGAATGTCAGTCCGAGACAACCACCAGAATGCCCAGATTCAAGACAAAATCTCGCTTAAGGAAAATCTGGAGCTCAACGCTAAATGCTCGAAATAAGGTCAAAGCCACCAATACTTTTCCTGTGCCAGTCCTCTCCTAGTTTTGAGAGTTTTGACCGCCTGACCAGAAGGATCATGTCTGATAACAGAGCCCACCGCCCTCGTTCCTCTCTCAATCGTTTATATATGCCAATCAATTCTGGAGGTTGGGGTTTGATTAATGTGGAGGCTCTTCATGGTAGAATTTTATTGTGTACTTTTGCACGTATTTATTTACCGGATGATCCTCTGGTGATGCATGTCAAGACACGTGATGAAAGCAAGAATTCCACAGCTATTTTGAGGGTGCAGGGGTTGTTGGACAGAATTTGAAATTTGAGTTTGATTTTGTTGATGGAGATGGACTGCTGGATGGTACAGTGATGGGAGTAAACCAGATGAAGTTATTTACCAAGTCTGCTCAGAGTCGGTCCGTGGAGAAGCTTTCTGAGAAACCATTGCATCGTCTGTACATGCAGTGTGTGGAACAGAAGTCGGCTGAAGTCGGCTGGTCTCAAATGTGAAACTGAGGGCTTCCTTTTTGCTGCTCAGGAACAGTGACTTCCCACTCGCAATCGCCAAAATGTGATTCTTCAACAAAATATTAACATGAAATGTCGACTGTGTAATGAATTTACAGAGACTGTCTAACACCTTGTCAGTGGATGCCCTTCCTTGGCACAAACAGCATATCTTAAACGACATGATGGCATGGCTCGCTGCTTCTCCTATCGTCTTAGCCATGCCTGTGGCTTTGGTTTGGTAGACTGTCAGTTTTACCTGAAGTCATGGCGATGCATACTATAGAAATGATCCCTAAAAGTATGATCCATCCATGGTACGACCCTGAACATGTCCAGGGCGTCATGGAAAATGATGCTCTCAAGCTTCTGTGGAATAGGCCCATATGCAACCTGAGAAGAATTCCAGCCAACAAACCTGATCTTGTCCTTTTGGATAAAGCCAATGAATTTATTTATATCATTGAATTTTCTGTCCCCTTCGACAGCAATGTGATTCAAGATTCAGGAAATACATTCTTAATATACGGACCTCGCCTTTGAAATTTCTCGCTTGCATCGCAAGTACACTGTCGTCAGGCTCCCCATTGTTCTCGGTACCCTCAGGTTTGGTACCTCCTGAACTCTTGGCGCAGATTGAGAGTGTTCTCCAGCGGGAGCGCAGCCCTTCTGACACTCTGGGTAATGCAGAAGGCTGCAGTGTTCTTCGGAAAGTTCTTGGTGGGTTCCAATAGGCAGCGTTTCCTGGGAGAAGTCCCATTCTCTGTCTGGGCTGCGTGTAGAGGAGGCAAGGGCCCTGAGCTGATGATGAGCCTTACCAACCTGACTGTGCCAGGATCACCCCAACCCTCTCTGCTGCATATTTATCTTAATCTGTAAAACATAATAATAATATTACCGAGGTTGTAGTTATTGTGTCAACATAATATTGAATGAATGAATTTTTGGTAAAAATGTTAAACAATTGTTATAAACCTTGGTACTCATTCGTTAAATACGTGTTTTGAAATACTTGTGTTGAAGAACATACCCATAAGTACGGCACCCTGGAGAACACACCCAGCCAGATATATAAGACGCCAGGAGATGAATGTCGTGGCTGACATGACCCAGTGTTGAGTAATGCTCGCAACCGTTATCTATTCACATACATGTACAAACACATGTGATATACACAGATGATGCTAAGAAGGAAGTAGAAGTTTCGCTGTGGCGTGTCTGCTCAGTTTCCTGATATGCATTATGACTCATATAATAACCATCTACATCCCTGTCTGTGTGAGGCCCGTGGTAGATCCGGTGAGAATTGGATTAGTAGGCCATGCCAGGGATCGAGTGGTCAGGCTCGCTGACTTGGTTGACACATTGTAGCCCAATTGCGTAGATCGATGCTCATGATGTTGATCACTGGTGTCTGGTCCAGACTCGATTATTTACAGACCACCGTCATATAGCTGGAATATTGTTCCGCGTTAAACAAGAAACACATGTGTGTGATACTCTGCTTTTCAAAATTCCTCTTGTCAGTGTTTATGTATGTGTCATTATGCGTTTATATATTTCATGTATATTATGTGTCGATTTCAAGACTGTCATCCTATGAGTTGTCTTCTGCTGATTAAAACCAAATTGAATGCTGTCCCATGCATCATATATTACTTGCTGTGTGGCTCAGCAGTCTGAACTTCATATAATGGATTGTGTTGTCAGGCTTGGAAAGAAACTATACTAACGGAAAAAGATATCTGTGCATCACATAAAATTGAATAAAATAAAGTTCTTTGAAAAGTTATAATAAATAACCTTAAATAAAAATGTAGCAATGCACTTCGCATGACACGTGCACTTTATGCACAATGCGCGCACGTCACCCTACAGTTTATAGCATATCAGCGTATCTGCGCCATGGGCATGCTAGAGACTGCTCTGGCCCAATATAAAGAGGTCCGACATGTTGGTGTCCATCGAAACATGATCTCATCTCCATGGAGACAACACGTTTTCAATGGGAACACGAGAGGTTTTCATCGAACCGGCCGCCCACGCGTGACGTCACGTTAGCAAGACGACCACATTCAGCTGACCCATCTAAGGAATCGATGCCAGTGTGACTGCTCGGACCATACCTGGTTACGTCTAATCAGTTCCAAGACTGTACAGAAACGACTGAGTGAACACAACATTCGGTACCGACGGCCTGCAGTACGTCCGGTTTTGCTCCCCAATGTCACCGACAGGCAAGTCGTGCCTGGTAGACAACATCTCCGGTACAGGAGACAATATTTGGTTTGCCCGCTGACGAGTGGAGATTAAATCTGGACAGCTCAGACAGCAGGGCAAGGGTGAACGGTATGCTGACACGTGTGTTGTTCAACGTCGATAGTTTGGTGGGGACAGCGGTATGGTTTAGGGAGGCATTACATCTCATGGTCGGACACAACTTGTCGTTGCCAATGGCAATGTGACAGGTCTGCGATACAAGCATGAGATATTTGGGCCTCCTGTTTAGCCGTTCATTCAAGGACAGCGACGTAACTTCACCTTTCAGCAAGATAATGCCCGTCCACATGCCACTCATGTTGTGTCAGATTTCTTGAAACAGCAGAACATTCGGAGACTCCCTGGCCAGCTGTTTCTCCGGACCCGTCCTTTATCGAGCAGGCTTGGGATGGAATGGAGCGACGTTAGCTGAAGTGGGACATGCGTTGGTTCGTATACATACATAGAACAGCATTCCCCAAGCTTTCATCAATCGCTTAGTGTCGTCTATGCGTCGTCGTTGTCAAGTCTGCTTCTACGCCAATGGTGGACACACACGATACTGACTTTGTGAACTGACATTAAACACTACATCTCTTCAAGGGAGTGTCACGATGCCTATAGTCAAATCATACAGATTTTTTGTTATTATCCTGACAACACTTATACAGTGATTAATTATAGGAAAACACCCAAAATCATGTTATCATCTTTGCATTAACAAAGTGCGTAACATCATATAATACACAGTTACTTTATTCCAGTAATATAGTTTGCTACACTCACACATTCCACAGTTTTTCATAACGAAACAAATGAAACACGTACATGAAATCCGAAGCCATGACACAATTTACAAGCTACTACTTTCGGAACGGTTTCCCAAGAATAGGGTTATGATGGCTTGGGTAGAAGCGGTTGTATTATATCTAGGACAAAGCTCATCTTCAAATGTGCAGACACATGCCAAGTTAAAATCTCAATCTTCTACGATCAAGATTCCGGCGCAGTCTCCCTGTGATCCCAGTTGAAGATCGAGAGAGGAAGTCTACATAGCAAAGCGTGTTGTAAAATTTACCGTACATGTATATATGGACGCATTTCGAGTAATCGCTGTATCTTGGGAAACATACTGAAGCGCCACCTCACTCTTGTTCTGAACTTGCCTCCCGTTCATCTTGATATTGTGGGTACCTGCAATAGAAGAGTGACACCAGCAAACCCCTCTGATGTGATTGGCAAGGCAAACCACAGGTTGATGTTAAGAGCAGCGGGAACCTACATGAACGATACATATTATCAGACACGTCTCTGAGCCACAAGAACATATTCTAACAGTCTAATATTCCAACAGCGTACTAACGCACACAACATAATATTAGCTGGATAGTTTGGAGTTTCTCTCTGAAACAAGTTGACTGTTGACACGGTACACGGCACCGAGGTCTTTACGTGAGGAGCTACGCTAACCACTGATACGTTCTTTGTGCGAGAGCATGTAATGCAAGGGGTATAACTCTTCCAACACTGTTTGTGATATGATCTATAATAGTTGAGAATAGAATGAGCTAGATTAAAAATAGTGGTAGATCATTAATGTAGGCTCAGTCAAAATCGGAAATGACAACCTTGAATAAAAAAAGAAATGCGTGATAAGACGAGCCGAAAACAAATATTCTACAATGACGTTTTGTTCTTGTGAGTAACAAACAAAGAACCACTGCCTTGCAATTGGTATACACCAAAGTTAAATGTGTGTCGAGTTAAAAGAAAATGTAACTAGGCTAAGATGATCATGATGTACTCTTTAACATAGCCTATATCCTGTATCAAGAGTAAGTTGAATAATTTCTACAAACATCAATACGACTGTTTTCATATAATTGTGTGGATTTGTAAGTTAAAATCACGTCAGCATTTTGGAGTTATAATCCGTCCTCGGTTCTTGGTAATTCTTCATCGTCCCTCGCCATTCCATTACTCACATCAAAGAGGAGGTAGAAAAAAGGAATAGCCTAAAAACCGACGTCAAACAGACAGTCATAAAAAATCTTAAGGGCGGAAAACAACATTCAAAATCTCAAACAAAAGGTATCACTAAATTGGGCTGTATCGGTGATGCATATGTACATATATATCATATCCACAGACTCTTTCCACCCTTAAAATGACTCAATCTTTACTGGCTCATTTAAATTGAGCTTAACACACGTAAGAACATTGTTAAGGACAATGTGGCATAGCATATGTATAACATTCACATGTACATAGGTGTGTGTTGTGTTTATGTAGGTACAACATACACCAGTAAGACATGCTATGGAACCGGTGGACTCGTCTGTACTCGGCATGACCTCAGTTGCAACTCCTCCCAGAAGATCGCCATCTATGACGCCTACTACACTAACAACACAGAGTGTGGTACAGGTGTCGCTAACTGCGTCGGTGTGAAACCGGACAACGTGACAGAAGATGGATATCACCGATTCAACACAACCGAGATGGTCTCCCTCTACAAAAACTGTTCAACAAATTGTCAGTGTGTGTTTCATGGTCCCCGGTGGGGTAAATCTCGTACATTCTCAGTTGTAAAATATCAGTGCATTGAAGGTAAGTGCATAGTGCAATTTAGACTGAAAAACATATGTTTCGCTTTTACTGTTTTGATAGAAGAATTACCTCACGATTACGTGTTCAGAAGGCTGTGGCCACCACAATGACCACGGTAGATTCATTTGTATGTTGGCAGTATGCATGCCGTTATTTTCATTCGTTTACCAATTTGAAACTTCTTATTGGGGAATAAGTAACTTGGTGAGATAAACACAATACAGCGAGTCGCTGTTCGTATTCCGTTTTCCGTCAAGATGCAACCATTGCCTTCTTCAAATGACAACTAATGCTGCATTGTGATTTGAGAATTCAGCGGAGCAACACACACGACTAGATGTCATGGTGTGGTAATAAAGTGTTCGGATACCAGCGTTGCGACCGACTAGTGGATAAGCGTTTGATGGGGCAATACATCATTCCATAACGATTGCCCTCAGTTTTGCTTCCACATCACCGCCTACCTATGGACAGAGGGCAGTAATTCAGAAGGCAAGACAGTGACACTTATCTGTTTACATATCTTAACTGATCTGACTGGGGTGCAAGGGGTCTAATGATGCTTCGTGTTGTCAGCGTCTTCAGTTTGGGGCTCGAGGAGAACAAGTATTGGTTGTCATAGCAACTCTCTAGAACGGAAGGACGAATACAGGAACCAAAGCAAGTCGCATGGCTTTGTCTACAGGCACGACACCATCAAAGATGATGTTCTATCCTTTGTAGAAATGAAGACACGTAACCTCCCGTTACCACATGATAATGCAAACCTACTCGTTGCACGTGATGTTACAGGCGTTTTCATGCAGCATTAGACTGCTCAGCTGCTTTCTCTTCAGACTTCTCACACAAAGCATATGTCTGGTTGAAACGAAACGACGCCGACTACAGGACCGTAACTAGCCGGAAACGCAATCTCATTTAGACGAAGATGTGACTGACATTTCGAACAACATTCCCCAGGCTGTTTTCAAACATCTGGTGTCTTCTACTTCAACTTCACCAGCACACATTGTGGTCATGACATCGACAAGAAATAAAATCATTCAGCATAGTTAAATCGGGATTGTTTGTATTGGGAACGTGATGTTGAAAGGCAGTAAGCTAATACTTTACGTAAAGGGAAATCTCAGAGTAACACTATCCTGAAGGATAACATTTATCTATCATTTTTTCCTTTGGTATGAAGTGTTTTGAAGCAACATATGTATGTTTCTAAAATAACGTTTGGTGTTATTTTACTTTCAATTTAAGATTACACGTCACATGTTAAAAAGTACAAGCGGCCTCGCATTAATTGCAGTGTTACAGATTCGTTTTGCACCTGCACCGGACAACACTGCATTACTTGGAAAGGTGATACCATTAATACTATGATATTTAAACGCCGCAGCTGCTGATACAAATTAAA